GTGTTACACTTTAAAGAGTTTCTGCATTGCCTTCAAAGCCCTCATTTTAGTGCATTGCCTTTTAAAATGAAACAATTCCTCATAAAGAACAATGAAAGCAATGCCTGTTCTTGGAGGCTGTGAGCTTGGTGCGTACTATCAGCGGCTCTCAAACACCTGTCTGCAGCTACATCATGCTGAAATGTAGCAGTATTAATGAACCAGCGGCACGGTCTCCTTATCTACCTAATTGCAGAGAATTATTATCCAGATCATCTGGCAGCTGATCCCCTGTGAGTGCGGCTGAGCCGGGAGATATGCGCGGGGCGGGGTGCCAGGGGGAGGGGAGAGAGGAAGGGGTTTTCGTGCAAAAAAAAATCCCTGTTTGTTTTTTTTTTTTGCAGGGAAATTCTGCTTCTGAAGCTCGGGTGGACAATCTGCTTTTATTAGGTTGCCAGCTACAGTAGGGCCAGCACAGGGAATCCTGTGTATACACTGTAGATGCCAATGAAGAAAGGTTTATTACTGATTAGAGGACACAATCATGTGTATATCGTAGACACGAAACATGGCAAGGCAAGCCCAACCCTAGACATTTTTTTGGGATAGAGTGAAGAACTCTATATAGTTGCTGTCTGTGTCCACACTGAATAGTGTTCCCCTCACTTCCTGTATCAGTGACACCCCCTAGAGAAAGGATAAAATCCAGGTCCATGACACCCTGCAAAGTTTCCTATAAGGATACAAACCGCTAAGAGTCGTGCAGATGTTATTCCTGTCACATATCGGATGTCACTTAGGTTAGCCAGTTAACTGGAGGGTCCAGGCCTTCTATTTCGGTGACCATTAGAGGAGAGTCGGGTTTGACGTAAAAGCAGATAGATAACGAAGGGAGGAATTACATTCCGAAATGCCACAACTGAGGGGAAATAAAACGCTTTTCATCCTGAAGCTTACTTTTCCTGGATATCTTAATGCCACACGATGCTTTTCGGATCTTCTCCGGCATGCACAGAGCGGTCTGACGTGATGACATCAGCACCGTTCTCTGCATCATTGTGAGTACAGGGCCCCTAAAAGGTGCCGTATGCACTCACAGTATATCCTCAGTCTTCTGGGTTAAATGAGGCTGGGTGTCATTGAACCAGGACGGTTGAGGACATCTAGTGGCAGAAATGATATACTGCAGGGGGCAGCGGCAGAGAAGGAAGTTAGTATTGTAGACAAAGCTACTTTTTTTTATTTTAGACACCTGCTGAAGGACTATTTAAAGAGGAATTTTACCCACCAATTAATGTGTCCCCAAAACAGGAGGCATATCAGCTGTGACGGTTGCTAGTGCGCTTATGTCCGCTCTCAACCCAGCTTTCAAACCTTCAAATGGCTGATGTTATAACTGATCACATGTGCAGCCCTGTGGCAACTGCAATCCACATAGACGCAGGGATGGCCAAACTCCGGCCCTCCAGCTGTGGGTGAAACTACAAATCCCATGAAGCATCTCTCTCCGGGAGTCATGTCTGTGGCTGTGAGAATCCTGCAAAGCCTCATGGGATTCGTAGTTCCACCACAGCTGGAGGGCCGCAGTTTGGCCATCCCTGATAGAGGCTAAAATGGCACCTTCCTTGGCTGTAAAGGAAGGTGCCATAGAGTTGCCTGGAGCTGGACTTTTATAAAGTAACGAGCAATGACCCACAATAACCCGTCAGGGATCATCTTTCCTTGTTGTACATGGTAACATCTGGTTGCTATGAGTTACCACACTTTACACCCCAGTAATGCATATTACACTGGCTCCTATGGTGAGTTGTTTTAGGACGGGCGCTGGCTTGCATTCTCCATTGCTCATTTGGATTCTGCTTTCTTTCCCACGCAGCGCCATCACCAAGGACAACACACTAGTGATCCTGTCCAGCGTAGCCCCCGACGCCGGGCGCTACTACGTCCAAGCCGTCAACGACAAGAACGGCGACAACAAGAGCAGCCAACCCATCGCCCTCATCGTGGAAAGTGAGTAACAAACCCGAACACGCAGCTTGTGGACTGGAATAATTCCAAACCGTTCCTTGATTCCAGAGGGGCTGTAAAGTGCTGGGGGCGACCTCGGCGCTGTATAAATCGAGAGTACAAAAAATAATAACGCGTCAGCGGTGATTGCGGCCTCCGGGCCGGGCGTAAATCTGCTCTTTGTGATCTTTGCCGGGGGAAAAAAGAAAACGTTTCCTTGAGAAGGCTACAAAGCGTCAGGTGGGCGCGCTCCGCTCTTACTCCCGTCACATACGGGATGTCACTCAGGTGAGCGGGCTGAGCGAACGCTTGGCGTCCGCTATCTCAGGCGAGCATTAGAGGAGAGCCGGGTTTGGGAGGAAAAGCAGATCGATAGCGAAGGGAGGAATTAAATTCCGAGATGCCGCAAATAAAGGGAAATAAAAGCCCCTTAATCCCGAACTTCGCAGACAGGCAGAAAAGCTGCTGATCCAGCAAAGGGAATGGAGGATGTGACTGGTTTATCGCGGTAGGGGGGAGAAACCGGCGCGCACACACACAAAAAAAAAAAAAGTTAATGGCCTTAGCGGGACGCCACCAGTAATCTCCGAGGCAGATAACTCCCGAAAGGAAAAAGAACGACTGCAATAGCTCTGTGTGGTTACAGTGTTACTTCCCGTTGGGGGGGTACAATACATTGTAGCAGCAAACTGGCTACATTACTCACACATCGCCTATTATATTTCCATCATCCAGATAGAAAACAACGGACGCATCATCAGTAGGGATGAGCACAGATTCAGACTGGACCCAGCCCGAACCTGAGCTCCTGTGAACCCAGAAAAAAGTTCCATCCACTACCACCCA